GCCCTTCCTTTTCTCTGGGACGGTCTGGCAAGTGGTGGCTCTAGTCAGCCATCTTGCCTCATCTCCCCCCAATTGGTTTTTACTTTTGTTCAAGTCCTCTATTTTCTTACTGATCTTTTGATAGCAGATGAGCTATTCAGTTCCTTATAAGGACTTAACCTGAAATTCAGGGAACTGCCACTAGAAGGAAGTGACCTTTAAACGAGAGATTATTTTATTGTTTTAAACAGCTAACCACAGTAATATTAAACTAAATTACACATTGCATTGAATTTTTTTTCATAAAAAGTGCTAAATATTTAGAAATGTCCATTTTTTCAAACTAACACAATCAATATTTTTGGTTTGATTGTATTCAGATTTATTTTTGTATTTAACAGCATTCAGAGAAAGGTCTCAGTGAGTGTATATAACTAGAAACAATTCAATTATCTTGTTTCTATACTTTGTTCTAAGTTTCTGCCTACATTAACTCTCATTTTGACCATATGAGTATGGACATCAGCCCATCTTATTATTTTTTCCCACCTATTCAAATCAGGTGTTTTTGTTTGTTTTCTCCTAAAAAGTTCTGGCACTGACTTAAAATAAAGATGACATGAAAGATCTTAAAGATAAAGCAAATAACTTTGTCAACTTTCAAACACATCTTCAACTTGATGTTCTGCCTCTATTTCTTTGATTAACAATGTATTACTTACTGCTTTGAATAATTTCTGAAGTCTGTGCTAAGTGCTATAGTTGCAGTTTCATATTTATTTCTCATAATAGTTTAGGGGGATCATTAATATAAAGATAAATGTAATCAATTTAGTAAAAATAATAATTTTCTATTATTATCCCTATGTTCTGTGATCCTTATCATCTCTCTACTACCAGACATTTCTTCCCGGTTCTTCATAATCTGACCAGTTTTAGGATTTCTATCTGTCTCATTCTTGGGTAGGAGGCAAATTCATTCCTCATTTTTTTACTGTGATATGATCCCACGATTTTGGTTAAACTGTTGCATAGATACGTATACCTTTTTGATGCCTGTGGCTTCTGTGTGTGTATGTCAATGGTAGGAGGAACGTGGATTATCACTAGGCTGTTTTTCAAGAGGGAATGTGATTGGTGTGAGGGTACGACAATGAAATAATACCTACCTACCTCCAGCCCCACCTTAAGTATCTGGCCAGAAACACTGAAAATAAGGAAGACCATTTTCACCCTAACTGAGCAATGAACAGACTTTTCAAAGTAGAATTTTAAGAGTGTTTAGTTAATAATAGAGAGTCTTTGGGGAATATTTTGAAAAGAAAAATGAAAAAATCATCTGTAATTACACCAGCCAAATATAATCACTTTTAACAAATTGTTATATTTCCTATCTTTTTATGAATATATGTTAATCAAAATATCATCATGCCTTATATATGTTATCATTATAATTTGAATGATTTTAATAATATTAACTAATCTTCCAAAACAACCTCTTTAATGATCTTAGGAATTCCAAAGTGTGTATTATATGTCCTGTAATTTATCTGATTCAGCAAAGTTATAGAAGGACGATAAAGAGTAAGCCTTGCATTCAGGAATAGCAGCAGAAGGCAGAAATCCAAGGGGACTTGCAGTTATCATTTGTCTGAGCACTCAGGAATATTTTACCACAATTCATGTTTCATATATTTATTTTTTCATATTTCATAATCCAACTTGGATTTCAGGAAGTATTTTTTGTGGTATATGACATATAGCAGTAAAATGTGAGATAAAATGTTCAATCAAGAATTAGACACAATTTTAAAAAAAATTCTTCCTTGTCATTTTTCATATAGTAATAATTCATACTTAATGATTCCTTGGAAAATTAAGGAGTAGAGGTAGTGGGAATGAACCTCAGGCTATCTGACTGTAAAGGAACGTGAAGCTAAGGTCTTTAGATATGTAGATGATAGATGGATTAATAAAGGACTATGGTGTCCATGTCCATGTGTGTGTGTGTGTTTGTGTGTGTGTGTGTGTGTGTGTGTGTGTGCTTGTGATAGAAAGAGTTGGGGAGGCAGAGAGAGAGAGAGTATAAAGTGTGCTGTGTTCCATGTCTCAGGTCTTGGATGTTCAAAGTTGAAGGAACTTTGATTGATAGGTGCCCTTCCTCATCCAGTGGCAGTTCTTCACGTGACTGATCTGTGAAGAATTCTGAGTGTTCAAATTCACCACCACAATCTATAAAGCGGCTCCTGTCTGGAATGCTGGGGGCACTAGGGCTGCTATGACTTTGGTGCCTGCACTGTCATGATAAGCAGACTTTTTGAGTGAGGATCCTTGGAAGGAGAGTCTCAAGGTGTGACCAAAACTGTGTTATCTGACACTGTGATTGTCTTTGGGTAGCTTTTTTTTCAAATTTTAAATGGCAGAAATCAGACATTTCTGTAAGGGTTTATGTTTTAGGTGTTTTAGGTTTATGTTTGAGGATAGAAGGAGTAGTAAGTGACCTGCTGATTAAAGTCCCCTTATTTTGCCTCTGAAGTTCATGGCATGTGTAACAGTCTATATGAATCACTTGGTGATGGCGCTCTTTGTAAACACCTGGTCTCAAGTGCTGAAGTGATGGCTCTATCCATATAGGGTCATGGCCAGTGGTGATCTTGGCCCAAAGCCCTTCCTTACTGGCAGGAGCAGTGGCAGTTCTGGGAAACTAACCTGCTTAACTGAGGGAATGATGCTGAGTGGAGTCAGCACTCCTGTACCTTCTGAGGCATGGCTGGTGACTGACCCAGAGATTTTGAGTTTGTCTTCTTTTCCTTCCTCTTCTTCCTCATTCTCCTCTTCTTTTTCCTTCTGTAATTACTAAATCACATTCTTGGAAAGCTTCCTGATCATTTGGCTCAGATAAGGAATCTCTAGCAACATCACTCGAAAGAATGCACATATGTAGCCTACCCCATTGATTGCAGGAACAGTTAAAAAAGATTTGAAAGGACTAGTCACTAAATGCATTGAAACATATGTCTTGAGTCACCAGCATGCACCAAATTGGACAGAGAAGAAGTATACATTGGGGAGTAAGAGGATAATGTAGCAGGCTGAGGGGCTGGAGGGCTTGTGGAAGAAAGAAAATAAATAAGGCAAACAAATTTAAAAATACTTTATTTCAAAGACCTAAAACCTGTTTGGAAGGAGAGTGGGCAGAAGCAAGCATATAGGATAAGCCTAAATTCAGATTTTCCCCCAGATTCAGACTTTAAGTTCTCTGACCCTCTCCCTTCCCCAATACTACTCTTAATTAATCACATGTGATGGTGTGAGAGTTTGCATCTTGTTCTCCACTGTGGTAAATTTTGGAGGGAATCAGATAGGCCTGGTTTTGAGTGAATGCTTGTGATTTTTGTTCACTTCTCTCTGTTTCCTTAATGTGGTTATTAAGAGTAAATCTTTTTAAATAAAATGGCTGCACTGCACATCCTTGAGGGTCGAAAGAAGAAAAGTGGAATCTCACACTGGAATCTGTCCTGTGAGAGACGTGCCTCTAAGAATGGATGGAGAAGACAGCATCAAAGAGGCAAGGAATACAAGTCAAATATTGGATTCTATGGAAGAGGGATGGAGGTGGAGGAGAAAATTCCAGGCTTGGTCAGGGTCAAGTGATTGCCCTGTGCAGACAGCCCCCACCCTGACAGGCAGGTCTATTCTCCCCTGTTCACAGAGAAAGACTCCAACCCTGGGAGGAGAGATGACCTGCCTGTGGTCACACAGCCTGTCAAAGATAGAAGTGGGGCCAGAACTGAGGCCTTTGTTAGGTCTCTCGTTCCTTCTAGCACATTGGCAGATTGTACGAGGAAAGCAGAGGTGGAGATGGGTTTACATAAAACAATATGGCAGTCAGTTAAAGCGGAACAAGGCAGGCAGATGTATGATTAGGGAAAATGTAAGATAGGAAGAGGCCATTGTCCCCAGTCAAGAAAGAGAGCCTTTGACCACCAGTTAGAGAATCGACCCTTTTCTCCCCCTGCGAGCAGTCACCGAAATTGAGAGCTAAGGCAGGGCCTCTGTGAGTCAGGAGCACTTAACCCAGGAGGAAATCCTGCAACAGGATATTTCCTATGTTGAGAGTGTCTGTCAAGCTGGTTATGGATAAATTTGCATTTTTTCTAGGAAGTTATTGGACCAGCCCAGTTTTAGGGCAATGGCATTTTCCCCTGGGTGGGGCAGCAAGCCCTGTGAAAAGAACCTCTGCTGCCCAACTGCTAAACTCCTGGTGCTTGAGTCCCATCTACTGTGGAGAATCTGGTGAGTTTGATTTCTTGAGTTTCTCTATTTTATGCTGCTCTTGAATGTTGAATTTAATCTGAAGACAGCAAGTTTGGTGGATCCAAAGTTCTGATCATGGGTTTGATGCTACTTAGTCGATGGAAGCTTAGGAGTAGAGCACAATGGTATACCGTTTTAGCTTGTTTTGTTTTGTTTTGTTTTGGTAGATAGTTTGATACCCATTTGGACAAAGACTTTAATAGGAAAGTTTTAATTAGAAGAAAGAAAAGAACAAAGTATAGTTCTCTTTTCCATATCTTTTTGGTGTCTGTTCAAAGGCTTCTGCCTTAGCAGGTGTGAGACCCTTGAACTCTTCCTAAACAGCCCTTTGCTCTGAGGCCAAGTCAGCCTCCTGGGACTTTATAAGAGATCATGATGATAGAAATTGCTGTGTCATTGCCCAGCACTTCTGAACTTGTGATTTCTTGAAGATGTCATTTTCATGTGAATAACATTCCTTGGCTCTTTCGAACAGATTTTTTTTTTTTTTGGAAAAATGGTATGAGAAAAGACATGATTTTTCCCAGGGCTGATGAAGCAATTTGCTAAAGCGGAAGGGAGAAGCCAGAGAGATATAAAAAAGAGGAGATTAAAGTATATCCTTGGAGATTAGAGAACTAATATCCCACGGTATTGCATAAGCTTTGGCACCTCTCTGTAGGAATATCTTCTTGTGAACACTGTCATATAATTTCTTTCAGATTCTGAGACTCCAGAAAGATGTCTTATCAACAGCAGCAGTGCAAGCGGCCCTACCAGCCACCTCCTGTGTGCCCACCCCCAAAGTGCCCTGAGCCCTGCCCACCCCCAAAGTGCCCTGAGCCCTGCCCACCTCAGCAGTGCCAGCAGAAATGCCCTCCCGTGCAGCCTCCTGCACCTTGCCAGCAGAAGTGTCCGCCCAAGAGCAAGTAACAGCTTGAGGATTCATCAGGACCGTGAAAGGATGAGGACAATTGGCTCACCTGTTCTAAAGCTCCACCCTCACATTCTCTTCAAAGCCCCTCACGGATACAGAAGAAGCTTCTCCAGCTTTAGCGTGTAATATGGCTGTGATGGTTCCTGACAGCAAGTTTTCCTTTCTGAGGCTGTCATCCTGTTAGTGTTCATGCAGTGACTGAGAAAATGAAGTCCTCAGCTGTGCCGGCACCCCAGAGCTTCAGACGGAAGCGAGGCAGCTCTCTCCCTGGTGCCATTGGAGGATTCTATCGATGGCTTCTGTGTCTATCTGTCACCTGGGCTGGAATTTCTACCACCCGGGCAATTGTAACTTTTCTTTCACTTCCTGAATAAATAGAAATGTATATATACACACATGTGTGATGGGGTAAATATTTTCTTTCTCTTCACACCAGCTTTGTTAGCAATATTATATCATCATTTAGTTTATTTCTGTCTTTCTCTGATCCCCAGGGCCATACTCTCATAATCAGTGTTATTTGAATTTTGTGTCTTATCAAAAATGATTTCTGTATCACTTCAAATCTATGTTATTTTCCTATTTACAGTGTTTGATTTGAGGAACGAATTACTTGTCTGAATTTCAATCTCTCTACTATAAAATGAGGAAAATAATATTTATATTACAAACTTGTCTTAGGTATAAAATTGAATTAATATGTGTAATTTGCTTTGCACAATGCCTGACACACACTTAGCACTCCTTTAATGGTAATGGCAGTTTATTAGCAGCAGTGGATCCTCGTTATCTCCATCAACATCTTCATCACCACCACCATCACCACTATCATATTTACTCCAGCCAGAGAGTGGCTTGGACATAACTAATATAGGATATAAGATTATAAGTTAAATTATATAACTTTATATACTTGTATGAGAGTATGTAAAAAACTGTTACGACTTAACAATAGAGTGAAAAATAACCCAGTTAGAAATGGGAAAAGGATTTGAATACATATTTTTCCAAATAAATCCTACAAATGAATCATAAGCACATAAAAAGATGTTTACCATTATTAGTCATCAGGGAAATGCAAATTAAAACTATGATGAAGTGCCACTTCAAATCCACCAGGATAGTTATAGTGAAAAAGACAGATAGCAACAGATAGTATCAAGACTCAATGAGATTGGTGAGAAATTTGAGCCCTCCTACATTGCTGCTGGAAATATAAAATGGCGCAGCCATTCTGAAAAATATTTACATTTCCACAAAAATGAAACATAAAGTTACCATACGACTCAGCAATTCTATTCAAAGGTACACACCTACGAGAATTGCAAGCATATGTTTACAAAAAACTTGTACATTAAAGTTCATAGCAGCATTATTCATAATAGCCAAAAAATGAAAACAACCCAAATGTCTATCAACTAATGAATAGATAATCAATACGTGATATGTCCATACACTGGAGTGTTATCTTGGCAATAAAAAGGAATGAAATACTGATATATGCTACAATTTAGTTTATTTTATGGATTATGCTAAGTTAAAGAAGCCAAACACAAAGGAACACCGATTGTATACTACAATTTGTATGAAATATGCAGAATAGGCAAATCTGTACAGATAGAAAGTAGACTAGTGGTTACCAGAGGCTTGAAGGAGGGAGAACATGGATTTACAAAAGACTGATATGAGTTTTTTGGGGAGGTGATTAAAATATTCCGAAACTAGATTGTGATGATGATTGTACACCTGTCAATAACCAAGTATTAGGCTTAAAGAATTCACCTTCCCCAAACTTCCAGGCAAACCTCCTATAAAAACCCACCCCTCTCCCCTTCCTAGAGGGGTATTAGGCATGTAGCCTTTGCCAGAACCCTAGGGAGACAAAGGAAAGGAATGCAAGAGGGGAACTTACTTTCTTTCTCCCTCTCGGTTGTTTGAAAAGAATTTATTTAGTCCCCCCAGAAAAACCCTCTATAAAACCCAAGGCTTTCCCCTTTTCTGTCGTGGACACCTTTTTCAGCCTCCACCCATTTGCACCCAGATGCGCAAAATAAACAGCATTTTGCTTCGCATGAGGCTTCCTGTGTCTCTCTTGGCTCTGGACCTAATACTAAGGACTACTAAATGTACACTTTAAAAGTGTGAATTTTATGGTATGTGAATTCTATCTCAATAAAGCTCTTTCATTTTATTATTATTATTTTTTTAATTTTAAAGAGATTTATTCTGAGCCAAATTTGAGAACCATGACCAGGAGCCATGCCCAAGAAGCCTTGAGCAAGTGGACTCGCTGTAGTTGGGTTACACTTTGGTTTTATACATTGCAGGGAGACAGGGGTTGCAGGTAAAGTCATAAATCAATACATAAAAGGCATACATTGGTTTGGCCAGAAAAGGTGGGCCATCTCTAAGAGGGGGTGCTTACAGGTTATAGGTGGGTTTAAAGATTCTTTGACTTGTAATTGGTTAAAGACATGAAGCTTTGTCTAAAGGATTGGAATGTTAAGATAAGTAAGGCTGTAAATCAGAGACAAGCCAACAGGACATATATTTGTTATGTAAACTGAGAAGCTGCAGGTTTGTCTTGCATACCCTTAGGCCTGTTAATGAGTTGCAAAGGATATCTTTAAGAAGCAGGGACATGTGAAGTATGTCTGACCTCTCTCCTCATGGCAGGCAATTTAATTTTAGGATATCCTCTTGGCCAAGAAGGGGTCCATTCATTCAGCTGGTGGTGGGAGGCAGGGGAAGCCTTAAGATTTTATTTTAGTTCACAAGTCCCCTTTTTGGCCAAGATCTGCCAGAGGCAGCATCTATGGCCAAACTCTTATTTTGTCCCCACCCTGTTGCCAGGGTGATGTGGGGCTACCTGCCCTGGGTGCATCCAGGCCCTCAGTGGGACCCTTGTGGCCAAGAGGACTGAAGAGCCCAGTGGGCTTACAGCCAATTAAATATTTCAGGCAAGACAGGACTGGAGGCAGAGAGGCACTCATCAACTTTTTAAAACCTTCTAGGCAACATTAGAGTAAAAACAAAAATGTCAAAGGCAAGGCTACAAAATTAATTCATCTACAAGTATTGAACTACCATGTTGTTGTGTTTAGTGGTTGACTTGTGGCAAACATAAGCATTGTGAACCATTTAAGCTAAGGGAATTTGGATACTTTTATTGTGTGACAATATTTTAGTCTCTTCAGTAATTTATGCTAAGGTGGCTGATAAATTACTTGTTATATCTCCTTTTGTATAAACCCATAACTGAGAACAATTATACTTAGGAAGTTCTAAGTCTATAGGAAGCAGGAAAAAAAATTTTATGATTGGGATGGATATCTGCACCATGTGGCCTGAAACGACAAAGTTTTTCATTTAGTGTTTGTTTAGGCTTCTGTGTGCCCCTCCTTGATCTGGAGAGTCTAAACTAATTTCATCCCTCCGAATTGGCCCTTACAATCTCACACACCCCCTCTTCCGCAATAGTCCCTGGGCCGGGAGGGAAGATATTTGAACAGGGTATTGGCAGATTCAATCGTTCTAGGTCCCGGAGATATCAGGTAAACTTGCTATTTACTTAAAACTTGTCAGGACTCTGGAAAACAAAACAAGAGAATCAATAATGTTTTAAATACAGAGTCTTTTTATAAAAATTTAGTTTGGTCCCATGAGGTTGAGTTAGCTATACTTATGGACATATCGATTTTCTAATTAAAGTCCCTGGAAGTTTGTTTTGTTTTAGTCCAATGGTATATAATCTCCAAAGTTATCAGAAACCTGTATGCAAGTGAACTTATCGGTCCTTTCCATGACTTTACTTGAAGAAGCAAACTTTGGACTTAGCCAGAAAGAACCACTTTCTGAGATGAATTGAAGTAAAAGAATAACTGTCTAGGGATGACACAACTTGGACTAGCCATGTTTAAAGAGATAATTGACAAACAAAATTGGTTATTTTTGTGGCATACCACAATTTACATAATAACCATAATTATTACTGATAACATACACCAAGACATGTCAATATTTTACAATACTGGAACATATATTAATAACATACCTACACAAATATAGCCCAAAGAAAGTTAAACACCATTTCATATTTGACAATGTTCCCTGTATGGTTTTAATGCACCAAATAAATATGATGTCTGTCTTAGACATTCGGTGGCCCTAACATACAAAAAGCTAGTTTAAGGTCAAAAGGTTGGATTTAGAATTTGGGTTTTGGAAAGTTTGTCAAATATCAAAGGCTTAAAACATTTGTTCAAAAACAATCACAAACCACTATAAAATAAGGGTCATTTATTGAACCAAGAGAGATAGTCATCAAAAGATTCTAAAAGTGATAAAGCAAGTTATATGGCCATAAACCTTAACCCTTTTAAAGTTTAGTTTTTCTAGTTAGTCAAAACCTAATAAACAGAGCACAGGTATTATTTTGATAAAGTATAAAACCTTTGCTTCTCTTAGGTCAGTTACCGAAAAGTAAAGAAAAACTTTCTGTAGTGTGATATTTTTTTAAATTAAAAACTTAGAACCCAGATAAAAAACCAGCCTCATATAGCCGTCTAATCTTTGATGAAGCAGACAAAAACATACACCAGGGAAAAGAATCCTTATTCAATAAATGGTGCTGGGAAAACTGGATGGACACATGTAGAAGACTGAAACAGGATCCACACCTTTCACCTCTCACAAAAATCAACTCACAGTGGCTAACAGACTTAAACCTAAGGCATGAAACTATAAGAATTCTAGAGGAAAATGTTGGAAATACTCTTCTAGACATTGG